CACGCGAACCAAACCCAGGAGCCTATGGTTTGAACCCACCAAGAGTCTTTGGGCTTAGGTGAACCTCTCCCTCGTGCCTCGCCTTTCTGCTGTTTTGTCCAAATATTTTTGGCGTCTTCGCTGCTCCTTGGATTCGTGCTTTCCGAACGTGCACGGGCCGTAAGAACCAACCAACCCACGTCTGAATCGTACCTCACACGAAATACCAAAGCGGCTGATGCTCAGTGTTTCTCAGAGTGCCTCGTTCGTTTGCACCTCGGCCTTCTTCCGTGTGCTTGTAACGCCAGGCGAATGCTGAGCTGGAAGAGGAGGCGGAGCGGGTGCGGAGTACAGAACTGGCAACAGCGGACATGCCGTCGACCTTGGGGTACGACATCCTCAAGCTGTGGCAGGACCAGGGGGTGCAAGAGACGTGGGCCAGAAAGGTGACGACTTGTTTTTTCCTTTTGCCGGCCCAGCTGTTGCTGCTGCTGCTGCCGGCAGCGTGTGCTCTAAACACACCGCTGGCGAAACCTCGAAGAGCGTTGTTGATGTTGTGTGATGGTTTTCGATGGCCTGGAATTGGCCAAGACAGCAATCAATGCCCAGGCCGGATGCCAGCCACGCCGTATCAAGGGCATTCAATCAATCTTTTTTGGGGGGAATCGTTGCCGCCAAAGAAGTGTAATTGGTGTATGGCGTCCTCTGCCGCCATCGGGCGTGTGCGACGCAGAATGACTGCTATCGCTGCCGTTTTTTAAGCCGTCGAGCTGTACGTGAGCATGCAAACAAATGTTTGGATCTGTGATAAACGCGTCTCAGTTTTCGGTTGGTCTTCTGTTGTTCTTGTTCTGGCGGCGTGTACAAGCACGGGACGTCTTGTTGGAGGTGATGCGTAGCCTGTGGTCGTTCTGGGTTGTTGCCAACGTCCTTTTGCCCTCGTACGGCAGCAGTGAACGTGTTTTCGTCAACACTCCACAGAATTGTGAACAAGGTCGTACCCGTGTCCCGTTTGCTTTTGTCGCCGTCCTCGTCGTCGTACGTACGGGGCTGCTGGCCTGGATCAGGACAAGTTCTGGATACTCGACAGCACCCCGTACTACATGAGAGAGGCGGTGCGATTGGCGCAGGACAGTGTTGACATCACGGAGGTAAGCATGTGTCTTGTCTTCTCCCCACAATCGCAAGCGCCTTCATATATATCTATCCGCAGCTACCACACAGCACGACAAAACGGACGGTTTTTCGATGCGATATGTCGACGCCGTTCCTATGCCATACGTAAATACACCGGCTTCATACCCGGTGTTGCTGTTTGGCGGATCGAGGATTGGTCGAAATTTTCCTATTGGGCCGCTGTTTTTTTCTGTTTTTTTTTTTTTCCGGTGGCGACACGGCGCATGACGAAGGATAAGAACACCGGGTATGAAGCCGGTGTATTTACCCATGACAAATGAACTGCGTCCACACATGGCATCGAAGAACCGTCTAGTTCGTCGTGCTGTGGTTAACGGCGGGGTGATACGATGCAGTGCTTGCACGTGATGCGCGAAAACCATGGCTTCGCCGGGAGCTCGGCTCTCTCGCGTGTCCCGCATGAGAAGGAGCGACTTTCCCTGTCTCCTTCTGACGCCCAGCAGGTTCTTTGGTCGCGTGGCGTCATGTTGTCGACGGCGGTCTGATCTCCCTCGTATCCCGTCGCTGCTTTGATATGCGGCGGAATCGACCCGGCCTCTTGCTCCTCGCTGTTCCTGAGTTGGGGTAGCGGGCCGTTACAGCTGTTGAATAGAGTCTATATGGGATACAGTATAGACAATGTATCCGATCGACCGACGGGCGCAAAATACGGCGAAGAGTGAAAATTGGTCATACATGCTCTCCGCTGTGTGCTGCAGATCGGTCCGGCTTGCTACTGCAACTTTCCGCACCAGGCGGGGTTCACGGCCAGCTTGGACCCAAATCGGACCGTTTTTCCTGGTGTCGTTGTATGCATACACGTCTGTGTTGTTGTCTCTCTCGTGTTTTTGGTGATCCTATCCTATCCTATCCTATGCTATCCTATCCTACAGGAGGACGTGGTGATGACCAGGGTGATGACGTCCGGCGTTGGCAGTATCGAGATCCTCGATCCGCCCATCAAGTTCACGGTCGTGGACGTCGGCGGGCAGCGGAACGAGCGGAAGAAGTGGCTGCACTGCTTCGACGACGTCAAGGCTGTCGTGTTTATCGTCAGCCTTGCCGGCTACAACCAGGTGCGGTGGTAGATACCGCGGCGTGCAAGTTTTCGACGCCACGGGACGCATGTGTAGCGCAATGCACGGCCTCTGTTGCGCACTTGGTTCGTCAGGACGGCGGTGGTGATGTTGAATGGGCCGTGTGAGTTATTGATGGACTAAAGTAGCTAGAGCAACCTTCAATAGCCTCGCCGACACTCGTTGCCGGAGCAGCCGCCCGCCCTTTGCGGCGTGTGTCCGAGGCCATTGAACTGAGTTTGTCAGGGTTTCGGAAGACGAATAGCGGTCGCGCCTCCTCGCCCAAATGATATCAACTCCCAGCATCGACTAGATAGATAGATAGAGAGAGAGAGCAAGCGTAGACCGGCTGCAAGTACGAGGACGAAACTCACGGGCTCAGCCTCGTCCAAACCTGGTGTACATATTGGCCTCTCTTCCCTGGTCTAGAAAGGGAAGATGCTTCCTGGTGTTTTTTCCGCTCGCTGTCCTCTGGCCTTTGCTCTCGTTTGCGTCGTGCACGCTTTCTGGTTGCGTCTTCTCGCGGAGAGAGGTTGACATACATACTCGAGCCGTCGCCGATCGATATTGCTTGGTCGTGATACAGCCGATCGGTCTTCATTTCGAACTAAATTCTTAGCCCCCCAAATCCTCCCATCTCCCCCTCCTCGCGGTGCGGGTTTGGTGTACCATCGTTCGCGCCTTCCACTCGTTGGCTTCTGTTTTGCGGAGCAGGCTGTCTATCTTGTCATCGCTGGCGTTGTGACTACTGCTTGTCGTTTGTTGGCTGCGACGCCAGGTGATGTTTGAAGATGCCACGCGGAACCGACTCTTGGAGGCCATGGAACTCTACGTGGATGTCGTGTCCAATCCCATTTTCCGGTGAGCGTTTGTACCAACGCCGGACGATGTTTTTGGCTTGTGGTTGCTTTGTTATTCCCCCTGGGAAGGACACAAAGGATATGGTTGGACCCCTCGGAGAGAGTACGCGTTGGTGCCACCCACGTCTCGAACGGAAGGGATATCATCAGTGTGATGGAAAGGTGCCATGGGGCAAGCTATTGTTTCTTGCGCATATTCGTACCCCGACTGACTGTTTCGCATTGGTCAGCCGGCGAGCGTGGTCGATGGTGACCGACGAATCATATACCCCTAAAGATGCTGACGCCCGGTCGAAATCATCATGCGGGCAAAGAAGAATCCCGCCGTAGCCTAGCCTCTTTCCAGGGGTTGCTTTCTACACCGCAACGATGTTTTACCGAAAAACCTCACACGAGTAAGCGATCATGCACGTAGTACTTACATATGCAGACACACGCCAGACGTATACCCCAACGATTTGCGCTCGTTGTTCTCGCCCAGGGATACGCCCATCCATGTGCTCCTCAACAAGACGGACCTGTTTGCGGAGATGATCCAAGAAGTGCCGCTATCGGTTTGCTTCCCCGAGTATGGAGGGCCTCCGGGTGAGGTCCTGCCGGCCATCTCTTTCATCGAAGGTGAGTTTCGGCGGCAAGAGTGCCCGCCGTGCTGTGATATGTGGCCTTGCCGGGGGGGGGGGGGCATACGGAGTTCGTTGCTGTCGGGCGTTTTGTGTCTGGCGTGTTCAGGATGCACCGTGTAATTGTAGCGCCTATGAGTAGTAGTGTAGCAGGTAGGGTGTTGCTTGGAATGGCATCGACCGCGCTGCCGGCTGACATGGCGGCAATCGTATGGTGAGAAGCAAAACGCGAAGGAAGATGAGTTCTAGTCCGCGGGCCTCCCCGATAGGGGTGTGTGTGCGGCGGAGACTGGACGACAGGGGCCTTCCTGTCTCTGCGTTCACGGTGCTTTCGAAAGGAGAAGGCAGGTGTCGTGCATGCGTGGGTGTGTTGAGAGTTCGAAGCAATCGGGTTCTCCATGGCTAGACTGTTTGTCTGTGCGCTAAATGGCCGCACCATCACATTTTGTCCATCGTGCCGTTGCTTGCTGAATGTTCTCTCACGCTGTTGTTGCAAGTGTCGTGGCGGCCGATTCCAGGCCACCCATCGCCTCGATTCTCCTTCCCGTGGCGGTGCCTTCGTTGTCCATTTACGCATCCATGGCCGTGTGCGGCAGAATTCGTAGCCACGACACTCCCTGCCTTGCTGCCGGAGTTTTTCGGCGCATGCCTTGTGGTGGTTGGCGCGTGGGCGTCGCGGAAGGAGATATATATATTTTTTGTGCGCACGCCGACGTTCTGGTGGTAGGCCGCCCACACTCGTCGACGGGTGGCTGTATCTGTTCGTCCTGTCCGGCTTGCCTGCGAACGCGATGCAGTGCACGCACTGAATGCAGGTTGCCTGCTGCCTGCTGCCTGCTGGCTGACGAGATGGGCATGCCGTCCTTCACCCTTGCTCTCAACAATCTGTCTCTTTGCCATCGTCAACTTTCGTGCGTTTTTGTCAGGGAAGTGCAAGTCCATAATGGCGCAGTGCTGTCCGCACAAGAAGCTCACCGTCACCCCCATCTGCGCGCGTGTTCGAGAAGACGTGCTGGTGCGCCCTTTCGGTTGCGTGCTTGGTGGTGTCAGTCATAAACACGAATCAATTCTGCGAAACAACACCGTGTCATGTTGTGAGAGTGTCATTATGTACAAAACGGAATGATGATGTGGTTGTTTGTTTGAGTTTCGAAATACCGTGGAGTTTGTTCTTGAGGTTGGTTTAGCATCGACACTGCTGTAGCGGCTGTTCTGAAGGGTTTGTATCCCCAAACTCTCGCCCTTTTCCCGAAAAACATATCGGAATTCGCTTCGACAGTGATGTGGAGGGGACGTCGCTGAGCGGAGCGCCCGATTGTCGCCTCTGCCTTGCTAAGGACGCCTTTCGTGCTTTCTTGTCTGAATCAACAAAACGTCCGCTCTGCTCTGTCGGGCCAACACATTTCGGCGCGGAATCTCCCTGACCTGGGTGTACCTTTGTCATGGCTTTTCGGGGTGTAAATTAAGAGCCTGAGAGATGGTACCCCCGTTATACCTTTTTTCAAAGCTCGATAGCTGCACAGCCAAGATTGTGCCAACACCAAAATGGTGGTCTTGGAAACATCTCGTCGAGGGAAACCCGTTAATGAATCGGGCTCTTTCCGCACCCACTTTGTTTGTGGGGCAATCGAATCGACCTTTGAATTTCGGTCTAGGGTGGGTGCCATCTCTCCGCCTCATACGGAATACCACGGTACGGTATACGGTATACGGTACGGTACAGACAATCTTGGTCGGGGAGTAATCGAGTTTTCAAAGTCGGTCTAGGGGGGGCGCCAATCTCTCCGCCCCTTACGGTATGCTACCGTATCGCTGTGTATATAACCGGCTGGCTGCACCCTGTCCGTCCTCGCTAACAAGCCCGACCAGGCGAAGGTTTGAGTCTGGTGTCTCATCTCTGTAGTCTCCATCTTTTAATCCGCGGCAAGATTGACCGTTCATCAACTGGGGATTTTATCATTTTACCTAGCGAGAAAACAACAATGCTGTCCCACGCAGTTGCTGTAGTTGTACCACCACGGCACTCCAGGATGTACGCATGCGTCACTACTCCCCACCTTGCACAAAGGGGATGATCGCACCACGTTGTGTTGAATTGGTCAAGCGCCCTCGAGGCAGTTACAATGTGCAAACAACTGTCTCTGGAAGTGTTACCACCCGAAAAAAAATTAATCGTTCGCAGCTGTCATCCGTACGCATGGAAGCAAGCACATGATCGAACACCCTTTCAGCAGGATGCAGCACACCCTCCATGCGACTCGCCGAATATCTCACGGCGCTTCGCGCTTGGTGATGTGAGAGCATGGTCCGGTGAGAACCCGGCGTGCCCCGTCCCGCTTTGTAGGGATGCGAGGTCAATGGTCCAACGAATCGGCATGCACGACTATGAATACCCTGCGCGCTCGCTTCTCCGTTTGTTGATTGGCGCCCTCAAACAGTTGGGCTGGAAAGATGTCACGGACACGGTACGGGCCACGTACGATGTGGACGTCAAACGATGACCGACCAACACACACGTCGAGGTGATCGGAGGCAAAGGCGACAACAAAGCTTCCAGCAGCAAGAACCACCTGATGGAATGGAAAGGAAAAAGGGCGATGTTGGACTGGGCGAAGGTCTCGCCTTTGAGGGTGGGCTGGGAGAAGAGCACGCTCTCGAGCGCCCCCGCGGCTGCTTGGGTAGCAAGCGGGAGAGGGACAACGTCAAAATCTGATCTCCACAACGGTGGAACTTGCCCGTTCCTTTAGGCGGAGGAGGTGGATAGAGGAGGGCGGAGACGAGGAGAGCCTGATGCGTCGCGCCAGCGGCGGCGGCGAGCGGTCGGGGAGGACTGGTGATCGCTCGACACCGAACATGCGGCGCAATTTGTATTCCTAAAGTAGGCGGCGTTTTTCGGCCGCTTCGCGGGGGGCCGGTCCATGTGAGAAGAGAAGAGGGGGCCGAAAGTATGGCGAAGGAGGCTGTGTGTAGTACGGTACGTGTCTTGTCCAAAAAACGGGGGGGCGGGGGGGGAAGGGGGGACGGGGTGATGCTCGTGGTGCAACGAGCCTAGCTGTTTTTGTGCAACTTTGGCTTGTAACTCGTGGGACGTAGCAGAGAGCTTGGTCAAGATGGCGAGTTGGGGCGTTCGTCCGCATGATGTTGTTCGGCGGGTGTTTACTGCGTAGGAAAGTTGGAAACACGGCGAGGCGTTTTCGATGCATATGGTGGGTGGGTTGGTAGGTTTGCAGAGATAAGTGTGGAGGGAGGAAGGGGGAGCGCGTTGCGGTAGGTAGTCTTGCAGGAGGGTGGGCAGACAATGGGCGTAAGGGGCTGCCCCCTTGCAAACGGTGGTTTTTAGTGTTTGTTCGCCATGGATAGTAAAGACGGGGGAAGGTGGGGGAATCTTCACACAATATGGATGCAGGAAAGGGGGGGTGTTTGTTGCGAAATTGCGATTTGGTGGGATTGTTCGATAAGGTTTAGGGTCTTCCGGTCCCGTTATCGTCGTCGTGGTCGCTGTTGCTGGTGATGTCGGTCGGTAAATGGAATGGTGGCATCGGTGGTGGGAAGGTGTTTGGAGACTGTGCGGGCGTTTGTGCACGCCTTTTTTTTAGCCCTCGTACGTTACGTCTCCTTTTTTAATTGTGTCATGTTTTTTTAGCGAGGCCTGCCTCCCCTGGCTTCGTGTGTCTTGCACGTCTTGTTATAGGTGTGTCGGAAATTGTTTTGGGTGTGCGCGTGTGCGTTTTCTCGTCGTGCGTCGTACCGTTCCCACCCAGTGATAAGGGAGGAACACTCCAACGCCCGAGAACTTCTACTTACGATTCGGTGGTTCATACTAGTAAGTAGTAATGACAGTTGAGTACTGTAGTTTGGAGTAGTGACTGACCCCGTGTACATGTGTTCTGTTGGTATTCCCTTCCATTGATTGGCGCTGCGTACACGCGGCGCACACGCCCACGAGGCGCTGAAAAACGATCAGGGCGTCGATCATAGCCTCGTGCCGACGGTTGCGTGTTTGGTTTCCTGCGCACAAAGAGGGAACAAAGGCTGCTCGAGTGTACTACACGTTGTAGTTGGTGCTTTTACGATAGGGCTACCGTTTTCCTCTCCCCCCATGGATCCTCCGTGCTGTATGAGTCAAGCTGCGTCGTAAATATGTCAAACGCAGTTTGAACGGATGTGGCGAGAGGTGTGTGGTCCCGGGGTGTGGTCAGCAGGCGGCGTTGCACCGACTAAAAGCTTACCGGCATGTAATTTTGGGTGATAGTTTTCGGCAGCCACTTGTATTTTGGAGCCCCTTGCTTCTTGTTCTTGTCCACCTCGTCTCGAGCACGCGGACGGGCGCGTGGTTACTTTGTTTAGGCCGCAGCTGAAAATCACGGCTGCCTCTCTTTTGTGTACAGCCGTGTGAGTGAGAAAGCGGTTCCAGGACGTGTCCGCCCGCGCTGTGTTTCGTGACTGCGCTTTACCTTACCTTGGCTCGCACTCTTTTTTTTTTTTTCTGTCAGAGTGTAGACTACTGGTTTGCGTTTTTTTGTTGGGTGTTGCCGTAGCGTGTTGTTTGAGTGCCGTCTGAGATGTACGTTGTGGGTTGATTGATTCTCTTGGCCGTGCATGCGCCAAGGCGGGCAAACACCCCACGCTTGATGGTCGTGCGACTAGTGTGTCGATGCCGAACTGCGCCCAAGCCTTCGATTGATTCGGAGATCACGCTGAGATTCACGTATCACAAACTTGAACCAGCAGAGGATTTTTTTGTATTGTTGTTGTGCTCGAAGCCATGGGAGGAGACCAAGGATTCAAGAGTTTTCCCGCTGGTGGTGAGGGTAATGCTTCGGGCAGGGCGCCAGGACGCCCGGGGGTAGGCAGGTAGGTAGGTAGGTAGGTAGGAGGGATACGAAGAGTTGTTTCGAACACGTGAACCAGAAGGTGTGGTAAACTAGTCGATTACAAAACACTTGAACCCTTTCTCCATTTCTTGGAACCTCTCCATTTCTTATCGTGCTCCCGTCTTCCCTACACGTGGCCGAAGACCAGCCAAGCGATATTTTCTTTCTTGTGAGGTTCTTCATCACCGTGCTTTCAACTCTGCGCTTTCCCCTCACACGAATGACAGATGTTGCGAGAAATTATAAAAGAAGTGGTATATGTCAGGCCACGCTATTTTGGCGGGGGGTACTGCAGCTCAATTTCGATTATACCTGGCAAGGGGGAGACTTGATGCAACTGCTGAGCTGTTTCGAGTCTCCGACATGCGGTGCATTCATTCGTGTGGGACGGACCCTCGGTCACTAGGTGGGCTGCGCTCCTGGGATAGTAGGGAAACCGCTCGTTGTTGTAGTAGGACACACTTGGGGATTTCCTTGTCGTCCTCTCAAAGACGCCCGAGAAAACAACTCCAGTTCAATCAATGGACAACCTCCTGGAGTAGGCGTTGATGACCCCCCTATTTGGAGAAGTATGGGTGGATACGAAAGAGCCATCCATATGTATGTGTGAAGACAACAACAAGACGTGAGTGCATCGTATTGCCCACTGGTGCGGGGACTGCGGCTGCACAAGCCGTACAGTAGTAGCCCATCGAATCGCACGTGACTGGTTCTGTGTTCACGTCAATTTTTTGAAGTGAAGGTAACAACAACAGTAGCAGCAACAGCAACAACAACGTCTTCTCATTCAAATGCCTTGATTAGCATCTGGCTGTTGATGTTGCAGCCCCTCCTCTGGTATGTCCGTAAATTTGGGGTTCTGGCTGTCTCCTTATCCCTTGCCTTCACTCGCTCGAGGGTTTGTCGCAGATTTGTCTTCTCCTGCGGAAGACGGTGGAGGAGTCTCGGAAACCGCCGGTATTGCTACAGACGGTAGCTCCGCAGATACACAAAAGTGACGTCTTCGTTTCTGGGCATTGGGGACAAAAACCATACCTATTCGACATCATACCAACGTCAAAGGGGGTGCGTTGAAGCCTTTCCAGTGACCGGGAAAAGAATCGGCTGGATACTGCTGGGCATGTGTTTATATATGGGGTATATATGGGGGTGTTTGATTTCATTCATTGTGAGTACATATTATATGGAGGCAGGATAAATTATTTCGGACGGACGCAAGCGCCTTGCGGTCGACTCTCTTTGGCCTTGTACAAAAATCGCCAAAGTTGGGGGAATCGAACTCAAGGCGGATAAGCTCACGGACAGAAGTCTGTCCCCTATCACACACGCGGCCCACACTTCGATTCAACTTGTGGTAAAAACTCCTTTCTCAACAGCAAAACAACAACGAATAGCCTTGGTGCCAGGTGTCAGTCAGTGCAGCCCGGCTTCTGTATGAGCGAAATCGTGTACGGAGGAACAGTTCTTCTACGAATCCTCTCACACTTGCCACTGCTCTGGCAAATTAAATTAATCCATACAATCTCACGTAATTAAGCAATTTTCGGTTTTTAGGAGACGATAGATATATTTAGGAGACGATATTGACGTTTGAGCCAAACTTCTTGTCAACATCAGATCACTCGTTTGAGTGTTGTCCCGCATGTGAAACAAGAAAACTCAACGTGCCGCCAAGTAAGGAGCTGTGGGATCGTTTGTACACCGCCCTGTCTCTTGATGTGAGAGAAGTTTGTTTGTGTCGGGGTCATGCATTAACCCATCAAACAACCCCCCCCCGAGTGAGTGTGCCATCTTTTCTTTTTTTTTACAATAGTGCATGTATGTACATTATGTGCGGGACAACGGCACACGTTCCTTACAGTGCAAGCGCGCGGTTACACGAGAGTGAATGTTCACTCAGTGTAACTCTTCAGATCGACATGACAACTAATTGTGGAGCAGAGCGTCCAACAAGCTCCCAACGCGGGGGGAAACCTGACTCCTGCTTTCCTGCGAAAAGAAAACCTGGCGTCATTACTTACGCGACTGAAAGCATATACCACATGCACGTGTACATGGTTCAATCTGACATACATCAAGCAAGGTGGTTCAATCTGACATCAAGGTGCCCCGCGCGAATCTCTGTTGCAGGTTCCGTTGTTAGCAATCGGCACGAATCTTCGCATACAGGCACCGTTCACAAGCGTACTCAACGTACGATCTGGTGTTTCTTGTTCATGCTCTCACTCCCTCGTCAGTCATTGTTCGGCCTCTCTCTCTCTGCGCCGCCATCATCGGCGGAATATGGATTATTCCGTATATACCTCCATGCAGTGTGGCCTGCTAGAAACCATTTGCCGTTGTTTGATGCTTGCCTCTTCTTGTAGATCTCAGTCTCACTCGAATATCGCCAGCCGAGACTACGCACACACTCAAATCACTCGCGTGTCACCACCGCTTAACCAAAACATGTGAACTATATCCAGGGGATGTCGATTTAGCACCGCCTGCTACCGTCCTTCATATATTATTCATTAGCAGCGAACCTGGTGTACACATATTGTATTTATGGTAGATTTTTTCTTGCGATGCCATGGCAATGCTGAGGGCAAACTGAAATTATGTACCACGCCCCGCTGTTGATATTT